GTAGGATCCACATAGGGGAGTTGGAAAACCCTGATTCCAAACCAATGGTGCACATGGGCTCCAGGATCCTGAGGGAACAAATGGCGTATGAACCAATTGTTGGTCACCGGCTACCGTAGGACTGTGCCTCTTTACGTTGCTCCACTGCCATGTGTATTAGACTCTTAGGTCAAAGGCTCGGGGTGTAACCACGTAAGAAAACCGTCTGCTTCGGTTTGGGTGCTCGAACAGTATCCAAGCCTTCGCAAATATCAAGTGACTTGTGTTGCGCAAATGTATTCGTTTCTCCTCTGTACCAACGTTTATGTGTTCAAATAAATAAATAAATACAAAGGAAGATAAATGACCTGTCACTATTATCAGTCTTTGATTTCTCAGCTACGTTTTGGAGGACTGGCTTTTCTTTAGTAATTTTGTTGCATTGTTTTCTTGATCTGCACCCACTCATCAACTTTCATTGGAGTAGCGATCACAGTCGCGTCACACATGCTGTGAAATCTTGAGTGATTGAGGATGACTTGGGTGGTAATTTTTTGTTCTTCCCGCCAGAAATGGATCTAGTCTTGCAATTAAATCTTCTGGAAGTTTCCTGTCCGCTGTCATTTGGAGGGAGGGGGGCAGGTGAATTTTCCTTTCTTGAGCTTTTATTTCTGGCAGACCTCTTTTAAGTCGGTACTTTCTCCTTTGGCTCATGTAGGTCAATCGACATTCAGCTTGTTTGAAGGAACTTCACACCAATTTGAATGACGACTGAGAGATTACTGTCTGATGTGTCTCGACCACGCTTGCCAATACTCATTTTAGCAGCACTGCACGTTACAGTGGCTTCGGATAGCAAGCTGTGTGTGTTCAAGCAGCACCGCCGGCATAAACATATACAACTCTTATTTCCATACCATTTAAAAGCAACAGGCATTAGATTCGTGTAAACGTCGTGGTATCACCCTTTGCAATCATTGCACTGCATTCCACTTTCCACAGGGCATCGACAGCTTGGGGGTTGGCAATTGCCCTTCACAACGTCCAGCTATCGATCAGAGGTTTTCAAATATAACTAGACACAAACAATAACCAAAGACCAGAGAAAGTAGAAAACTAAGTTGTTAGAACCAGAAGTGCAAACAAATACCGATGGATCAAAGTACTCCAAAGTACAGCTGATAAATTGCTTTTTCGAAAAAAGCGATACTCTTGACGATTACTTTAAATGAAATAAAATCCATTAAATTGAAAAATAGTTTTGATGCGTAATTTACGATCAAAACAATGAAATAAACTGAGAGAGGAAAAAACTATTGTCCTTTTTTAAATAGCATGCTTAGTATTGAGCTCTTATTATTTGTAGTAACCACTTCATTGAGCACTTAAACGGTTGTTACTATTATTAAATAATGTTCATTAAATATCAACAACAGCAGTCACTAATTTTCGTAGTAAGTCACGTCAGTCTGTCCAAAGAAAACCCTACTGAATGACTTTGGATTCTTATGTGTATAAACTTCGAACGGACCCAACAGAGACTGTCAGGTCGCTTAATGGTCTGATCAAGAAATTTTATTGTTCACAAGATCTAATTCCGGAAAGAAAGTCTAGTCATGTAAAATCGACATGTTCAGACCAACATGGAATTAAAAACTCCCCAGGCTACTAGTTTTATTGAAGACAAATTTAAACACGTTATCTAATTGCATTGAAACCTTTAGGGAGTTCGAGTTCACTCATGTTCTTTAAAGTAGGGAGTTTTGGTCTTGTAACTACCACATAGTTGGTCCTTAAGCCAGGATGATGTTAAGACATAAAAGTCTGTGAAATATACAGTGATTTATTTTCCTTAAGATGTGTTAACCACTCATTAAATGACCAGGTCTCCATAACTTGGGAATCACTGTAAGGAAAAAGTAGTCATTCTCATAGTTAGGCCTAGTTTGTTAGTGTTTGAAAAGTAACATTCATGAGCCTTTTTGGATTAAAAGGAAAATATTTTGCGGTTTTAAAGGTCTATACGAATGGCATGGTAGTGTAATTTGCTTACCACATAACTGACCGAAGTTGCCATACTATATGATATGTATGTTTTTGTAAGCGGTTAGCTAACTACTAGCCATAACGCTCGTCTTTTTTATGTGAAGGTGGCGGAAAAGAAACTAACTTGGGCACATTGTAGCAGTTTTTAGTATCAGAGTTAACTTATTAGCACAGGAACATCTTGTACAAGCTTTTGGAATCATTGTCCAGCATTATCAATTATATTGCATGAAATATTAATTCAAGGGATAGATGTAATCCCACTTGATTGGTTGTAATTTTTCTATAAATAAAAACCATCCTACTTCAGTAAACACAGAAAAGGACTTACTAATGTGTGTTCGGGTAATTTTGATTACACCGTTGTCCGAAGTTTAATTAGAGCTGAGAGTCGACACGTTCCAAATATGCACATCGTTTGACTGACTGAATCCCTATCGTGCGATTGATTTTGATACGCCGATTTACTTTGACAATGGAGGTGGGTTACGTGTTCCTTGAACATGTGTTAGTAAATAACTAAAATTTATCATTCTAGGACTTATCATCTTAAAAGAAAGTAATACTGTCGGAGAGCCTGTTAACTTCTTTTTCATTTAATTTGATACTCATCAACTGGAAGTACACCGTTAAGTTATCTAAATTAATTGGATGAAAGTACAAGATGTTTCTCATCTAAATTCAAGATGTTACCTTGAAGCTGGTCCACGTTAATGGATTGTTTAATGATAGCGAGTGACGTAATTGGGCGTGTTAACCACTGTTTCAACGTCTTTGGTAGTGAGATGAATATAAAAACCACAACTGAATGCCACCAACTTACCTCACCACTTGACGGTATCAACGTATATATGACATACATCTATGTTGTTTTACGGTTGTAAAACATTTGAAGGTTGAAATCATGTGCAGATTACAAGTATTTGAACCTGTATACTCTATTCATTGTGTCATGTATGGTAGAACCACTGAGTAACGCTAATGTTAAGGAGAGTGGTAGTTTGGATTCGTAGAAAAGGTTGATTTATGTTGAAACTTCATCGACTAAAGTGCTTTGATATGTTACTATGAATGTGTACACGTTTTGTGATTGCTAGCAAATGATACCGTTATAAAATTAGAGACAGATAGATGGTGGTGTTACACAGTTCACAAGACCACTGACTTTGTCCAGTAATTCATATAGCATTAGTAGAAAAGGACACCAGATACATATGCACCACACAACAGAAATCAAACAAGTAGTAGTTATCACTGACTTGTGTGAGGGCTGAGATACTGTTCGAGCACCCAAACCGAAACAGGCGGTTTTCCTACGGGGTTACACCCCGAGCCTTTGACCTAAGAGTCTAATACACATGGCAGTGGAGCAACGTAAAGAGGCACAGTCCTACGGTAGCCGGTGACCAACAATTGGTTCATACGCCATTTGTTCCCTCAGGATCCTGGAGCCCATGTGCACCATTGGTTTGGAATCAGGGTTTTCCAACTCCCCTATGTGGATCCTACGTATCCACCAATCCGGTTGAAGAACCTGACATTCGCTTTACGTCCTCTCACCTTCGTGAACAACACCTCTGGTGTGAGAAGGCATTGAGTGAGACTTCTCTGACAGTGGTTGTATGCACGTGACCATGTGAGAGCTGACTCTCCACCCTTGGTCATACCAGTGCATTTGGGAGCCACGCGTAACATTAAAAAAATCACTTACATTCAGTCCATATATTTAACTGAAACTTTGCATCTTGTCATTGCTCACTTCTTTAATTTATTTGGACCTCGGTTATATTCAACAAGTCCAAAGCTTTATGTTGCTACTTGACCAATGTAAACCCCTGGACACAATGCACTATGATAGTAGGTGTTTCACTGAAACAAAATATTGTTGACCGCATCTAACAAGGATCAACAAAAAACAACGAAGTTCTACCACATCCTTTGTTTCCAAAAACGCGGTGCATTTGGATGTTCGGCTTCAAATTCATCTTTGGACGTCTATTACTTATTTATCATAAATTAACGTGACTGAGTGATACCACTGTGTTCACAAACAGTTTATTGATTATTCCACCAATTTATTATATGACTAAATACATAATAATAATATTTTCATGATTTTACTGTGCTTTATTTAGTTGTTTTTCACAGTTATAGAACACGTTTCAGTACTCTAGGTTTGTACTGATGTGTAAATCAACCAAACTGATTCTCTAAAACTACTTATTTGGTTTGTACCTACAACAGAAATGTTGTACTTTGAAGATTTCATGGAAGGTAAATCTCAATTTCTCAAGTCACATCTACAGCAATTGAAAATATGCCATCTGAGCTAAATGAAAGCCTTACAAATGTTCGACAACTAGACCTACAAGCCCAAAGTAACTTTACGAAATACAATGCTCAATTTTTAAGATATTTTAGATTCATTATCAGAAACTATCCAGACATTTTTTGAAAACTGCAGGTTCGGTAAACTCTTAGAATATGAGAAAAGTACTCAGATTCTTAATATTACCCGGGTAACGTGTGGCATTTTATCACGAATCTCAACAGGAATATGAGCGAGCACTCAATCATTGCAAGGACAAACGAGAAATAGTGGAAAATATATATAGCACAGTATGACAATTCGTTATAACTCTTATCTCAAAGTATCGTAAATTAGTGAGAAAATTAGATATCGAGTTGGAGAAGTTCCGAATTGAGTTAGAGGCTGATAATTCAGGAATAACAGAACAAATAGAAAAAAGTAGGTTATTTTATTAAGCACATTACACCTAAGGAGTTCAGAATGCCCTTGGGAAAGCGATAGCAACGAATTCAAAGGCAGAACGTTGGTTATTTTTAATTAACATACGCTTTTAGGTAGAAGACAAAGACTGCGATTTCAGCAATCTAGTCATTGCAAAAATAACTTCTCAGTGAGAAGACGACTGGTTGGGCCGGCTTTCAGAGCAGCACTTAAATCTGCTTGCATGAGACCCATGCAATCGGGAGGAGTGCCGTCTCTGGAAAATACTAAATTCTCACTAAATGGTGATCAAAAGTCTTTTAATAACTCCAGTTTAATCTCAACTTCTGGATGTCATGTTCAAGATACAGGTTCCTACAGAAAGAACGCTGTTCATACGGATGGTCTAAGTCCTTTTAAGTCAATTGACGAAAGTAAGTCTACATTTCTTAATATACTCTCACTTCACTCAATAGTAAAACAAATTAATATTGTGTCCTATAAAGCAACATTCAGCATCTTGTGCGCATGCATTTGAATTATGTACTTACTACTACTTTAGATAGAATGGATATTCAGCAACATGAAAACTCATTGTTTACTAACTACAGATGTTTGTGAGATTTATGCGTAATTTTTCTTGGCTTGGATACTATATTTAGTGCTTTTCACCAAAGTTCTCACCCGTCAAATAATACCACAGGGCATTCAGTTATAAGTATGCTGTTGCCTGTGTTCTCAGTTGAAATAATTCGCTCAAGCTGTATAGGGTATTATTAGTTGTATAAAACTTAGTATATGATGAATGTATGATAGCCTTATGATGACGCCATCTATGGATTTGCTTAAGGATGTGTTTTTGAAGAGTCAGTAAAGCATCATTACGCCAATTTTTAATGTTCTTACTTAAAGCCTTGCAAGTCCAAGTGGTTCTAGTCTCAAAGTTTAAGCAGTAGGACAACGGGATCCCACTGATTTCTGGTCGTCAAGTAAGGGCAGTAAAACTGTGAACCCAACATAGTCGGTAAACACATAAGTGCGACGTTACGTCAGACATAACACGTATTCGCATAAAAGAAGCGGACGTCGATATCAAGTCACTTTTTTCACGCTATCTATTGACTTATAAATCGATAGTGGTAAAGACCGGAAAACTGAACCAACTACGGAGTTAGAAATCAACAAGACTGGAGTTTAAAAACAAGTTTCTCAAAAAACTGACGCAAATTGAAACAAACACATATAAGCGGTCCTCTACGTGCGCATTCCTTAGATGAACCCTTGTCAAAATTTGAACAGCTTTAAAAACAATCAAGTAGTCTGCATCTACCGACATAGCTCAGACCAGAAGTTAGTGACTTTATGAAATGATGCCATATTTTTTTTGGTCGTATCAACTGATTTACCTTCATTCCCTAATATCCTGCGTCTAATCTCGCTATTATTTACCCGGTGATCCCAGCAAACGCCGACAATATTTCCAAGACATCTATGGTCAAATACTAGCAACTTACGAGTATCTTCTACTCTTAATGGCCATGTTTCGCAGCCGCAAAGTAAAACAGGACAAACTGCCGCACAGTATACTCGTTCCTTAATTGATAGACGGATATCTGGCTTTCGCTATATGTGACGTAAGTTGACAAAAGCCAAACGAGCTCTCTAAATCCGTGCACAGATTTCGTCAGACATCAATTCTTTAGCATTGATCAGACTTTCAAGGTAATTGAAGTTGTCGACGCGTTCGACTACTTCACTCCCTATCCTTAGTTCAGCTGTTGACGCAGGCCAGTCCTGGAGCAACAATTTACCTCTAGAGGGGAGAAATGCATCCAAAACATCCTTGCATTATCACTCAGTGCTATCAAAAAACTCTGCATCTTGTCAGCGTATTCTAAGTCGATATGTGGACCTCCTGGAAGGAGATCGATCCCTGAAAATTCAGACGACGAGAACCTTATTTCCAGCAGTAGGTCTATTATGATGTTAAACAAAAATGGAGATAGTGGAAAACCTTGTCGGACACCAATTTCAGGTTGTAAAATCAGATGACAGTTCGCCATAAGCTCTCACTCGACTGGTAGTGTTCGAGTAGAAAGTCTTCAAAAGGTTTACGTACTTTTGAGGTACACCCTTCAATGATAAACACTGCCATAGAACCTCTGGGTGTACAAAGTCAAATGCCTTTAATTCAAGAAAAACTATCATTGTTGTACGCTGATAAGCATGTCTGTGATTTAAAATCTGAGGTGTGGTAAATATGTGGTCGATGCAGTCACGACCAGGTCTGAAACCAGTCTGATTTTGTCGTGTTTGCAGTTCACGAGTCTTAGTTGGGCGCCCGATAATTATTGAGGCTAGTATTTAATATGCTATGTTAGTCGAACTAATCCGTCTATGATTATTACAGGATGATTTCGATTCTTATATATTAGGACAATCAGTGATTGAGACCAGTCAGATGGGATTACGTCCAACTCCCAGATTTTAGCTAAAATACTAGTCAAGCTGATCGCTGAAACTGGACGATCATATTTAGGGACCTCTGGAGTTAGTCCATCTGTGCCAACTGCTCTTCCTCGTTTCAGATTAGTTATACCCTTTTGAACTTCAGGTAGGGTAGTGGGTCCTACTTCAATGTTCCATTCAGACTGTCTGGGAATAGTGAGTAGTTGTGCAGTAGCTGAATGCCAGCTAAAGTTTTTTTTGAAGTGTTCCGCCCATCGTTCTAAACGTCTGGGCTGAGAGCAGATGAGAGTGCTGTCTTTTTCCGAGATTGTTTCGCTTACACTTGACTTATTAATTCCAGTTTCTTTTATTAGTCTGAAGAGTTGTCTGGTGTTGCCTACAGTCGCTGCCTTTTCCATCTCTTTTGCTTTCGTTGCCCACCACTGTTCACAATCGTTCCGTAGACTTTTGGTTAAACTAGATATGATATGTTTTCGCTCTTTGTCGTGTTTAGAGCCCGATGGGATGAGTTTACGAGAATCTATCAGTGCATTAGACTTAGAAGAAATCCATTGAAAGTGATCTGAGAGCATGACCGCAGTGCCCAAGGCACAACTACTTGAGGCCATTCACACACGACCATTTCGTGGGTAATTTCTGTGGTAGTTCCGTACTTGTTGGGACCTTACCGCCGGAGACGGATATTCGTGGAATAAGGCGAAGTGTGCATCTTTAAGGTCGATCTTTTCAAACCCACCCCTCCTTGTGGGTAGGCAGCGTCGCTGTTATGGTGGTTTTCTGAGAGTCACACTTCTGTACAGTTAGCAGTGCGACTTCGCCTTCAGACCTTGGGTTTGCTGCCTGTAGTCTAACCGCTCTTCAACCGACCTGTCTGGCATGGTAGGACCTTGAGGAACGATTGTTCCAGGCAGTATAGCTCGATTGGCAAGCCCGACCACCACGTCAAGGTAGCAGCAGCGGCCGAGCACCAGGGGTGGTTACTTCATAAACTTATCAGTATTAGACCATTGAAAATCTGAAAGCACTGGACGACCGCCGTTCTAGCACAGGACCAAACTGCACACATCTGTGACTGCACGTTGACTCAAACTCAGGACTTTTGTTCTCGCGCGCAAGCACATGATGATTGTCAGTATATGGGTTCTAGGTAATTTAAGATTGGTCGGTTCATTACATTGAATGAAACTCAACAGTCTATAAACTTATGTTGACAGTTTTATAAATGTTAAAGCCCGGGTTTGTAGCAGATATTCGAGGTACGTTTGTAGAAATTCTTTTTACAATTGTGTTCAGAAAAGAGAACAAGTATTTGCTAATAACACGGATCCTAAAGATGCCACAAGTACATGTATTTTTCAAAGTTTTCTAGGCCATATGTTGACGTATGAAATAACCAATATTTAAGTGAATAATCTTCGTCAAATTTCACTTTACTTTCTTGAAAACATTTTCTCATGTAGACTCAATATGTTTGGACCATCAGTCCAGTGACAGTTCATACGACCGAACCTTTGACGCGTGAGTCCGAATTCCCTTTAAATAATTTAAAATGTATGAATTACCCGGGAAAGTCTCCTTTTGTTTTTAGTATGAAAATCCTAGCTTTATGACGCCTAATTACGATCAAATACAACTTTCACGGTTTTCAGTTAGTGTTGATAATGATGAGAATACAATTGGATAATCTACCATCAACGACTTCAGCACGATATTGACTTTCGCCTAATGACAACGTTCTAGTAAAACAGTAGAATTTGTGCAGTTATGACCATCATCAAGAAATTACAGTTTCCTTAAATTTATTGGAAGTAACGGGAATATTTTTTGAGAATGACTTGATATATAGTTTAACGAGAATCAGCCTCTTATAAATAGGACTCCAACAACTACTAGGTAGTTACGTATACTATCTCCCATGTTTGTTATCCCTTTAAAATAAGTAAATTTCATAATGATTACAGTTTCCATCTCCAAATACTACGTTTACAGGCTTTACTAGTTTTTCATTTAAGCCATGTTATGATCCATTAACATCATTTAAAAAAGTAAGGGTTAGAATACCTTCTAAGTATTACATTAAGAAATCGAATGACACAACTGAATCTAAATAGTCTGCGTTAGGACTTCAGAGTATTCACTTATCTTAAATAATCATTTAAGTTATCTGCTTTACGTCAATTTGTGTCATCGACATTTCTTATCAGTGGTTAGAACCTGTAGATGATAGCTCGAAACTATTCATAAATAATTGGTAGTTTTCGCTTCATTGAATATTTTGCATGGATTTACCCTGAGAATGAACCCGGTTTTGTGAGCATTCTGAGTTTTTTTAATCAGATATGATGTTACGGAAAACCCATGGTAATCTTTTGTTTCGCGTTTTTAGGGTTAATCCACAAACTGGAGGAGTTACAAAGTTTGAAGAGGATACTGTAAACGGTCACAACGCAAGTTCTGGATTCCCCACAATTTTAAAAAGCAACCCATGCTTGCTACCAGACATGTCACTGGATGCTAAAACCCATACTGGGATGCACGATCGTGTTATTAAAAGTGCTAACTCTTCCAGTAGTCATTTATTTTACGACACAGCAGAACCTAACTTTGCAGATCGTGACAAGCTCAATTTGACACCAAGGACAGGTTCAATTGATAATCAAGTGACAGACAATATCAGTTCACCCGGATGGCACAGTTTAACGCCAAGTTTTTCTAGTACTCGGGAAAAACGCCGATACCCGCGAAGATATGATAGGATAGGTCTAGCATGTGACCTTACGGTTGATGAGTTCGGAAAGCTCGATGATTCACCCAATTCTAGTGTCAATGCAACGCTGGAGCATGGATTTGACGACCAGACGTATGAATTTAGTGGGAATCCGAAACCTGAAGATTCTACTGACCCACCAGATGATGATGAAGATTACAAGCGTTACTGCATATGCCGAGATGTGAGTTATGGTGACATGATAGCATGCGACGCCCCAGACTGCCCCTTCGAATGGTTTCACTACGCTTGCGTGAACCTAACCGTTGCACCGAAAGGTCGATGGTTTTGTCCTACTTGCGCTAAATCCCTAAACAATAAAAAAAGCATCAAAAAAAGTTCATCTAGGAAATAATGATAGCCTCAGATGATCAGGGAATGCAAAAGAACCAATAAAGTGCTTGAGAGCAATTCTGATATATTCATGATTTTTAAACTTGTGTATAAGCTCATGAAATATAATGTAATACGCTGCGATATTTATAGACAAAATTTAGTGTGAACAAAAAAGAAAAAAACAATATTATTTATATGTACATGGTCACAGTGCCTGATACACCCAAAATGCATAGAAATTCGTTTGTAAACAATACAATTTACAAAATCACTCTATACATTATTCAAGTAGCTTGTTGGAAGCATAACAGAGCGTACGAAGTAATTTTTACTTTAAGATGACTGTGTCGTTGGCGAATACATGTTCGAAGTCCCAACTGCAAAAAAAAAGAAGAATTAAAACGAAGGATTATTAATCACTAATCAACACTACTTAAGTACCGTTTCTTCAACTTTTGTGCGATAAAGTATAGGGAATAGCTACATGATAGATATTTTTTGTAATATCTCAGCAAACAGTAGGATGTTTTTACAAAGTCTCGTCACCTCATTTAGTTTTCAATGTAACTTAGTATCTATATCCTTTCCTGAATATTTCTCGGTAATATTTACATCAGCCTTTATGCAGTCAATGGTATTTCAGTTTTCTGTGTTTTCAAAGTCAGGAGCTATTACACTGGATGTAGAGAAAAATGCATTTAATTTGCCATCTATTGATTGAAACCATACAAAACAATTCTTTTAAGTATCACGAGTACTAAATTTCAATGTAATCTGTTTCATATCTAAACATTAGTTGGTACTAAAACACAGACATGATCGACAAGCAGTTTAGCACTCAACATTTAGTCGCATATCCGAGTCCTGCTATATCTACTTCAGTTTGAACAACTCGATAATATACTAAATGTAGCACTCACACGCAAAGTTTGGTTTAAAGCCATGCATGTGAGTTTCTACTGGGTCATTGAGTTATACACTTTATCTTGTGAGAGTTTTGAATTAGCATTGTTGAGGTTATGTGAAGTTGCATGTATTGAGGAAGGTGTTAACCTAAAAGCACGTTATTCATTTCTTAGTGGCCCGTGATCTGACTCCGTTCCAGACGAACAAACCCCGTCTGAGGGACGGCGGAAATGAAAAGCGAAATACGTATTAGATATAATTAATTAATTTCGAGCATCCGTATACACAGAACGATAGTAAAAATGAGAAGCGAGAAAGCGAAGCAGACTGGAAAAGCCAAACATGCCTACTCAATTTGATAAAAGGTGATACAATACTAATAGGTAGACAAACATACGCTGAAGACGTGAGGAATGGTGTAAGCAATACACGCTCATAAGGTGGTAAGCGAATATTTGAAAAAGTCGAAATGTGACTCAGGTAAATGCATAAATTGGTCTGTCTGAAGGCTAGAATAACCCACGTGGGCGTGACAATACTAGACAATATAGTCTGAGTCTGTACAGACACGATAAGTACATTTTGTAAGCTAGTTTTAAATGCAACCGTTGCTGCTACCTTGACGTGGTGGTCGGGCTTGCCTATCGTGATGAACCAATCGAGCTATGTTGATCTTCTTGTGCTAATGAGGTATGGCAACTTGGCTCGATGCATATGTGTGCCTGGTCCTACGTTGTAGCTGACTGACTTATACAAGATTCCACGATTTAATTCAAGATAAATCTAAGTGTGCTGAACTTTACAAGATGGATTTGTGACAGATCAACTTATTGCAAATAAAGTAGGACTAGGTACAAATGCTCATAAGTTCAAGTTGTTAAATTACATAAATGTCATAGAAAAGAAATCAAAAAGACGAGATCAAATGAGTCGAAATTTTAGGATTAATACTGGTAAACGACAAAACATGGTTTAAGTATGACGAATGAAATCTGAAGGATTTTAATCGCATTTTTAACACCATATAGCCATCAAGTTATTTGTGAAAGGTAGCGAGAAATACTATCTAAATAGAAATAGCATCTAAAATACTAGCCTCAATAATTTTCGGGCGCCTAACTAAGACTCGTGAACTGCAAACATGAGAAAATCAGGCTGGCTTCAGACCTGGTCGTGGCTGTATCGACCACATATTCACCATTCGTCAAGTTTTAGAGCACAGACATGCTTATCGGCGTCCGACAATGATAGTTTTTCTTGACTTGAAAGCAGCATCTGACTCTGTAGACCGAGAGGTTCTGTGGCAGTGTCTGTCATTAATAGGTGTACCTCAGAAGTACATAAACCTCAAGTGGTGTCCATCAAGGCTGTCCATTATCCCCATTTTTGTTTAACTTCATTACAAGCCTATTGCTGGAAATAACACTCGTCGACTGAATTTTCAGGAATTGATCTACCAGGAGGTTCACTTATCGACTTAGAATACGCAGATGACATAGTCCTGTTTGGTGAAGACTGACAAAATGTAGAGTCTTCTGTTGGAACTCAGTAATAATGCCAGGATGTTTGGGATGCGTTTCTCCCCATCCAAATGTAAATTGTTACTCCAGGGCTGGCCTGCGTCAACACCTGAACTAAGGATAGGGAGTAAAGTAGTCGAATGCGTCGACAACTTCACTTATCTTGGAAGTTTGATCAGCCCTAATGGGTTGGTGTCTGACGAAATCTCAGCACGGATTCAAAAAGCTCGTTTGGCTTTTTCCAACTTACGTCACATATAGCGAAGACGAGATATCCGTCTATCAATTAAGGGACGAGTATACTGCGCAGCAGTTCGCTCTCTTCTACTTTACGGCTGCGAAACATGGCCATTAAGAGTAGAAGATACTCGTAGGTTCACCATTCGTCAAGTATTTGACTACAGATGCCTTAGAAATATTGCTCGCACCTGCTAGGATCACCGGGTAAGCAATAGTGAGATTAGACGCAGGGTATTAGGGAATGATGGTAAATCAGTTGATGAGGTGATGAATCTTCATCGACTGAGATGGTTGGGCCACGTGTTACGTATGCCTGAACACCGATTAACACGACGCGCTATGCTGACTAGTATTGGGGATGGTTGGAAAAGAGTTAGGGGTGACCAAACCAAAGCGTGGCATCAGTGCTTGAAGTCACTAACTTCTAGTCTGAGCCATGTTGGTAGATGCAGACTACCTGGTTGGGGTCCGCGTGACTATCGTAACCAATGGTTGAAGACTCTGGGTGGCTCAGAATCGACCACAATGGCGTAGGTGTATACACTCTTTATCTTCCCTTAAACCTCGAGATGAAAATTGCCTCATAGCTTTTTTACTTCCTATACTATATCCTTATATACTACCACCACTAAATTAATTACTTCTATGAATCCGGTGTTGATCTTGTTGTGCTAACGAGGTATGGCAACTTGGACCGATGCATATATGTGCCTGGTCCTACGTTGTCGCTGACTGACTGACTGAGCGAGAAATAGTCGTATGATGTGGGTGATTGATGGAGTTATAGTGCAAGAGTGCTTGACATATGTAAAAGATACTGATAATTCTAGTTTTTTGTTGTGACTTTCAATTTAAAGACAATAGGAGGAAATCATCTATTAGTATGAGAAGTATTCACCACAGTCTTATATCAACGGACTCGCAAGTTGTGCAACAAGTTTAGTTGGTAGATCTTAATCTACTCTAAGCTGACCAAATGATTCAGTTTTTTTTGTAAAGGTCTTGAGCTACATAAGTATACGTCCTAATTTGGACACTTTTTAAGTAGGTACTCAAACATAATAAGGAGAAATTACGTTTTATGCTCCTCCACGTGTAGTAATAGTCGTAAGTAACGTTATATGTGTTAACAGCTTTGCATGTTAAATCGGAGTCATTAAGTGCTTTAGGTCATATGCTCAGAATTTACTGTCCACTTCCAGGTGACTCTGTTCGCTCCCGTATAACGAAAAGACAACTAAAGTTCTGCTTAACTCTAGTGTACTGAATACCCGAAGGTCGATTTTATTTATTCATGATCACAAATATTATAAATAATTAAGTCAATTACGGTTACGCAAATTTATCAAAATGGTTACTTACCACCGTGATCATTTTGTTCGTGGCTTCTTCGTGACTCTGTATCAGGAAAACACTTCAAACATTCATGGCAAGCAAACACCTTTGAAGCTGAAAAGCCAAATGTTCAATTAGTACTGTTTCACAACTAATCATAGAGAAATTTAAAAAGTAGGGAACTCACTATTATGGACCGTAAGGTTGTGTTCAAGAAGAGCGAACTTCGATGGAAATAGCATATTACACGGGGAACATAAGCTGATTGAATCTATACAGTTTTAGAAAGATAAGATTTGTGGTTAGGTCTATGCACTGTTGATTGCGCTTATATTGATAACTGAAATAATCTTAGATCTTGTTTACAAAAATATGTAGAAAGATGCAAAGTTGTACAAATATTAATGATCTCAGAAAATTAGACAACACTTTGAGAGGGCAATAGGGATTAAATTACCTGAGTGCACAGTTTTTGTGTGACGATTAAAGGCAAACTTGGTTGAAAAACTCCTGTTACACAAAGGGCAAATGCACAATTCCGCACCTAAGTAAAATATTTGAAAACGGTAGTAAGTGTTCATCAAGTAATAGAATGTCAAATGCTAAAGCTGGTGTGAGAATACTCACTTTCGTGTATCAATCTCATATGACGCTCTAGACCATGTTTAGCAGAGAATTTCTTCCCACAACAAGCGCAAGGAAGAACAAGTTCTGATATACCTAAAAATATTTGGAAATAAAAACGATCCTTAGGAAATTGGAAAATATAAAAGTACTTAAAAATTTGGATGAACTTAATTTTTTCTAAAGCCAATTAGGTATACTTCTACCTTGTTACGTAAGACATCTGCTTGGGTGTGAGAGATTATATTTACCGTTCCTACTTGAGTACTCAAATCTACCATGATAAATAAGAGTTACTTGTTTAATGAGGAAGGTTGGGTAGACGACGGGTCAGTATTGATAAAAGACTTTCTTCGTAATAGTGTAAATTTATCTTACTTTGAAAAGGGAAAAGTAGAAGTCGAAAGCCCGATGTGTCTACCTGATGACTTAAATGTTAGCATTCCACAGAACGTTTTGTATCTTTCTGCACGTAAAGGATAGACCTATAGGATCTGAGGACATTTACAACAAGCGATAATGGTAAAGTATGGAATACCGAGATCGGAATTTCATATTTACTGTATCATCTTCCCAATGAACTAATTTATAGAATGAGAACACTGGTCTTGAAGTTAGCTAGAATGGTACAATAATATCAAAAATAATGGAAATGTGTAGTGAACAGGAACACGAATGTGGACAATCGAGTATATTTGAGCACAAAACTACAGAATATCTCACTAAAATCTGACAATCATACAATAAACAGTTAATTTGCAAACTATCATTCAGTTGTCTCAATCTTGACTGTTCCTTCTGCTAATATCAGTCCATTGTCTCTGATTTTATTGTTTATGCATTTTCATACCAATCGCGTTTCGTTCCCGTTATTTCCTTATTGATCTGCTTAAATACATCCTATGCCTGACCATCATCATATACTACTTATGTGGATGTAAGTAACCCACACCACAAATATAAATCTTTAAATGTGAGCAGTGCGTGCTAAAACTTAGTGTATCAGATTAAGATTAAGAACAAATGCGAAAGAAAACCACTTATCAAATTGGTGATCAAAAACTTTTAAACATTAATCTAGAAGTTCGGCTTCAAATTATGTCATCACATGATTTAGAAACATGAATTTTGGGTTTTGTATGGTATCTTGTTTAACTCACCTTCATGAACTTTTCGAATATGCCGATGGAGGGCAAATTTTGTGGTAAACTTTCGTCCACATGAGTCACATTTACATTCTTCGAGACCTGTGTTTTCAAGCAATAATGACAGTTGGATTGATTTTTTAATAAATAGGCATAAGAAAAAACAAAAATGATTAGCAAATTAAGATAATTTTACGAATAGTAAAGGTGTTAGTGGGATATAGATTGGATTAAACATGTTTTATGCATGATAGTGTTGCTGAGCGCTGATTGGTTAATTTTAAGCCGATCAGCCCGGGCATATTATTGCAGAAAAATCTATAAGCTTCTTATGCATATACTATAAACATATGAACGATATTTAAACTATTGATTGCTGATTGCTGTTTACTTATCATTATTATTTTGAATACAATTTCATTCCTGTTCAACGTGTTCTGATTTTGGGGTCTTGTCGAGTGTCATCTTATAAGAATACTAAGCAATAGGAATAGCTGGGTCGTTTATATAGCAAAAAAACACAATTATAACAAAAGGTAAATTCGGATTAATAGAGTTCTATGGGATATTTCACTTTGATTCTTACTTGCCTAAATGTTTATGAAAGCTAAAGGATTTAACCTCACGATATTTCTCATGTCTGTACTATTTTCTTTAGCAGTACTATACGTCTATTCCAAAATGCTTAGACTCGCAAGTTGATGAACGAGTCAGTTTCTTCGTTTGATCCTTGACGATTTTCAAATATGACAACGCAAACAATGCTGCAAGTGTATACACATATGCTAAGTCTCTTGTGAAACAAAATGAAGAAGGCCTAAACGTAGAGATATAAATTCAAATAATCTACGGTATATATTCAAACCTTCGTTATAAATCACATGAAAACCATGACGATTAAGGGTATTATTGGCTGCCTAATTGATGACGCATAAATTAGGGTTTTTATGTGCTTTAGCGACCAATAAATGTTGACAAGATCAATTAAGCGGAAAAATATAGGCCCTCTATCTGCCGGGTTTTAAAAAGTAAAACATTTTCGTTGCAGAACTAGACAACGCTATATTCGAAAATATGTATAAACATACAATGTTCAGAACTTACCTTCATGAACGATTTTTAAATGCCTAGCCATACCGTGTTTAGTAGAAACAACCTTTCCACACAAGGCACACGCCTGGTCATTGAATGCTAAAGTAAAATGGGATAAAATTTACTAGGCAATAGCTACTACTCATTTTACACCCGCCTTAACAAAAGGTTGCACTTGTTGACCATTATAGGTTTCGGTCTCCGTTGTTAATGGTACAATGAAGTAGAAACATAACCAATTTATTCAGTATTACAAAAATAAGTGTAGACATATTTTTTGGTTGACTAAAAATTATATTATTCCAACGTTTCGTTCAATAATCGATTCTGGACTTCTTTAGGGTAATTAATTACCCTGTGGATTAATAACCACTTGTACACACTCAGCGCCCAACCTCTTTAAGATTAATTGCTTAGATAATGATGGATATTCATATAAACAGGAGTGTTTACATTGCAACAAATAGTTGTCAAAACTTTGGAGCAATGAAATTAAAATCTTCATTGTTATTACTTTTGACGTCACATGTAGTTAAACTAATATCAAAATTTTCACCAAAATAAATGTATTCATCAACAATTCAGTCTATGCTGGTCAATAACTATGAAATGCAACTATTGAAGACAGAAAAAGCATATATATATATATATATTAGATTAGAATCATCTTTCAGGCATCACGCCGTGTTTAGTGAGTAGTGCTGAAACATGAAATAAAACCCCACTACATAGGTCATTCGATGAAGCAAGGTATGCTTCACGCACACTATTCTGCTTACAAAAATTTCCGAATGCTGATCCTCAAGTATTTTCAAAACTTCGAGTGTATATGAAACCCAAATTTTAAAACTCGCGAAGTACTAGCTTTTGATTTTATTTCATTTAGTAAACCAAAGTTTTGGTACAACTAAGGATCAAAAAGCTAAACACCAACAAAATAAAGAAATAACATTGATAAATAAATAAGGGGAGGGGAACGGGTCAGAAACAAGTTTTGGTCTGCATAAAGCTGTAGGAGACGGTCATTGTTATTTGAACCGGGAAAAATGACCACCCTTTATGTCTTGTGAGCTTGAACTCCCGGGTAGCACTACAATATCTGTCGGATGCACTTTCTTGAAATCATTTAAATGATGGTAGACTTCATTGTTTATTGCGTCCAAGCTACAGTCTGTTTAAATACAGCTAGGGACCACGTAAAGACATTGTTTTCTTTAATCTTAATGGAGCCATCTAATCTAACAGAACAATCATTATCGCCAAGGATTTCCAGTGTAAATTGTTTGATGCTACTGAATTTTCATAGCTAGATCTTGAGCTACTTTTACATCTAAAAATTTAGTCTCCGTTAGATAACGAATCATATGTAAGATGTACTGGCAACCACATTTGTTTGACAAACTAAAGTGATATGGTTACATGTTACATGTAGTTAGATCTTCAGGAGTCATAATTTGACTTCGTCAATTAGTTATACCTGCTGGTTATAGATGCTTAATTGTATGATATAGTAAATATGTTCACAGGGCGTTATCGATTAACTGGTGTTGAATACCACTGTTTAATTAACACAAACCTGACTGTTAAATTGACTAAGCAAATCATGTTAACACGTAGTGTATTACTATATCAGCTTAATCTATTTCGAGGGTCAAATAGATCCTTATCACTAGTATTTTTCGCCTCACGTTGTAGGATTTACAGTGGTTCCTGTTTCCAAATATAAGCGGTAGGACTGCCAATAAAAACATTTGCGATGGAAAATATGTCTTGATGCACATTTATTATGTACTAGAGATACATTTAATACTACATGCTAAACAATTTCTCTATTGAAAAACCAGTAAATGTATCTGGTATTCATTTGATTTAATTTAGATAACAGCTCTGGAAGGGGGTAAGTTTGAGAATCAAAAAAATACATGAGGGATAGCTAAACATTAATTAACTAATAGCGCAAAATACAATAGGCATATGTATTTTTTTGACTTACAATTCATGAGGATTGAATAATATTGAACCTCTACGATATTTGACTGATAACAGATCCGAATAGCTAGAACGGTAAGTTAAAAACAACTTGGGAATTAATTTGAAGCAGTTTCATGCAGGATACCCAGGGGCAAATGGGATAAAAATGTATATGCCCCCGGAAGACCTGGTACAGCTTAGGGAGTTTTTTTTCCTATCAAGATACTTTCATGTATCCATCCGAATATAGAGACCGCCAGGGACGTCTTGCCCCCATCTCGCAGCGGGTCAGTCAGTCAGCTACAACGTAGGACCAGGCACATTTAGGCATCGGTCCAAGTTAGCACAACAAGATGAACACCGGATTCATAGAAATAGTTAATTTAGTGGTGATAATATATAAAAGATAGATTGTATATAGGGATATATCAGAGGAAGGAAGAACGTTATGAAGCAATTGTAATTTTAAGGTTTAAGGGAAGATAAAGAGTGTATACACCCATGCCATCGTGATCGATTCTGAGCCATGTCACCCAGAGTCTTCAACCATTGGTTACGATAGTCACGCGGACCCCAGCCAAGTGGTCTTCATCTACTAACACGGCTCAGACTAGAAGTTAGTGACTTCAAGCACTGATGCCACGCTTTGGTTTGGTCACCCCTAACTCTTTTCCAACTATCCCCAATATTAGTCATCATTGCGCGTCGTGTTAATCGGTGTTCAGGCATACGTAACACGTGGCCCAATCATCTCAGTCGATGAAGATTCATGACCTCATCAACTGATTTTCCATCATTCCGTAATACCCTGTGTTTACCACCGTGGGATTTGAATGGACAACTGCATCTCTGTGCTAATGTGATATGGCGACTTGAACTGATGTACGTACGTACGAAGTTCTACGTTGTGGCTGACTGACTAACAGCCAGAAATTGAAGACGACACAGAAGAACGGACTGTAGGCACACTTTCTACTCCTTAAGTGTAGTCAAATGCTGGAATCCGCCGCCGGATGAGCTGGCCCAAGCGACTTCCCGAAGTCTTTTAGAAGACTAGACATATTTTTGAGAACTGAGGACAGTATTTCGCCATAGTTTACTGATTTTTCTACTTTTACCGAAAAATATACCTAGGTGCTTACCTGAAGGTATTGGTGGCCCACTGCAACTAGATACGGAAGCCCGCTAAGCGTAATCTCCTTTTACTCTGTTCAGGACGTGCTTTGGTTTGGGCACCCAGGCAGTATTATAGCCCTCACACACATGAAATGATTTGTGTGACGCATATATATTTGGTGCCTCGTACGAATGTTTATGTATTAATATAATAATAGAACCATTTGTAACGCTCTATCCATTTTGTGACTCAATAATCCGTGTGGCATACTCATTAGTGATTTGGTGGCTGAAATATTATTCACATATCTTTTACTGACACCTAGACAGTAAGACCTTTATTGTAACCAGATGGTTACGATAATGGAGCTAGTTGGACAAACCGATGGCTCAACAAAGATATTTATGACCCGGGTACCTGGTTAAGTCGTTTTAGATTATAAGAATTCCATTCAAATCAGGGACTGATCAACGTTAAATAGGCAAATATTAGCTGTCGGACAAGTTGTGACGACCTTAAAATCTCATATGTAGGAACACAGAGTCGAGCACTAACAAATCCCTTTAGGATTTTTCATCATTCCACTTGTTTTTCTTTAAAGTTTTACCTTAATCTCAAGTAAAGGACCATTAAGTAATAGTTTATTCAGGAAGTCAACTTGAAATTGTGATTAATGAAAACTTGCCACTTATAAAAAGTAATAAAATCCCACCCATAGTTTATGGAGCTAAGCTGCTTGTTTACTCACAATGTGTGCTTTTGGTGAAACTTAGTAACTATGAGAGATATAAATAATTCAATCGATGCACAACCCCGGATTTTTAAAAATATAGCAGTGACGAAACCAACAGTTTCTAGTGGTTAAGAGGTATTTCGAACATATTTACACAAAAAATAATAGTGACTGCTCATAAAACAACATTAGTTCAAAAATTAAATATCTTCTAACAAAGGGAAACCTCCAACGAAATTAAAATTGCGACAACCGCATAACGCGCGTTCCTTCAATATACAATTCATTCAAGAAGAATGAGGACAAAGGATTTTAACATTTGTCTTTATTCTGAATATAGGAACTTCTAGTAAGAATGAAATTTCATTGCGTATACTGAAAGGAGCGGCAAGTTTGTAACTCAAAGTAGGGTAGTGATTTCGTACTTGTGATTATCGTTGCTTTAGTGTATTTATTGCATCAAAAAGCATTCTTGGCCTACTTTAACTTGAATTATTTTAGTCAACATTTTAAATCTTGTTGAAAACTTTGTCTCGTGGTACCTTCTTTCGCATTGACTCTGACACTTGTGTTTCTAATGTGATCATATTGTGTTTTAAACCCTAATCTGACTACAGTGGTTGGCAGTACTTACAAATATGGACAGCCGAACTGATTATTCTACATGGATGAAGGTATGCAGTGTGGTGAATGTAAAAAGTCATTCCACAAGATGTGTACCCGTCTTAGTCGCGCTGCATACAAAAGATGCCCTAAGCCTAACTCGCATTGGCTTTGTATGTTATGTTGTACAAATAGGCCGATATTAGTCCACAAGGCTATGAGCCTATTAGCTCTGGCCTGTAAAAAGAACGATACTAGTTGCGCTGGTGACACAAGTACTGACAGTGAAGACTGTGTCTGTGCTGTACGTGCTGTTACAAGACGCTTTAGACAACCTACAGTGATTGATAGAAAAGTGAAATCTTCTTTACAAATAACGAAGAGTGAATCAAACTTGATATTAACATGAGCAATCACGCATCTCCAGTAAAAATCGAGGGCCCGGATAAAACCGTCATTGTTCAAAATAGTCCCGATGTGGCTGTCCTGAGTGACGAAAAATGGACGGTAGTACGGAGAAAAAGAAAAGAAAAAAGCTGAAGGTAATAAGCACATGGTTGGTGATTCATTGGTGAACTCGCATTCTGAGTCACTCAATGCACTATCACATTCTGATAGTAAGACAAAACACCACCCTGTCGTGACTGGGAAGAACTCAATCTCCTCAAATATCGTTGTGAGTAAACTGCTAAACTCGAACGATCCAGATCCCAAAACTAGACACGCCCATGTTTTGGAGAGGCTCGGAGAATATATCCGTACCATATTACTAGATAACTCTAAAAGTGTTCATGTCAAAAACTGGTTATAATAGGTATAAGGGCCGATGATAGTGTTCAACCACGACCATGTAGACTCCTTGAAATAATTATAAGGTTGGAGAAACAACGTGATCTTCTGTTAAGTAGCGCTCGTAGTCACGACAATTCTGACGTTTGAGTAGGACCGGATATGTCACTTGAAGATAAAATTAAAAGGGAGACGTCACTAGCTGAACTAGAAACCCGTCAACAAAACGGTGAGAATAAACTCCAATTAGTGGGTTTTCGAATAGTCATGTCTTCGAAGCGAATGCTACTAAGGCCTGTGTGGATAGGTCGCTCTCCCTAGGAGTTTTATGTGTCAACGCTCGTAGTCTAAGACATAAATTCTATGAACTGGGAATATTAGTGGACAAATAAAGTCCACTCACTGTAGCTGTGACGGAAGCATGGTTAGTCCTTGACTTCAACATCACCCCAAAATAATCTGCATACCACTGCTTCTGAGGTGAGAGACATAGATGCAGGAAAGAAGGTGGAGTCCTTTTATACATAGTCAATAATATAAATATCCACTCCTCTGTTTGCAAATCACATGGTAGTGGAACTAGTGAAGTCATTAGCTGTGAGCTCACTATTGAATGTTGTACATTTGTACACAGTGCCATCTATCGCAGCCCAATCTGCTTAGCTGATGACTTTATTTTAGAGCACATTCGAGTATGAAGTGCAAATAACAGATGATTTTTATTAAGGAGACTTCAATGCACCTGACATTAGTTGGACTGAGATGACCATGAAGGGATCTATAAACTCCTTTAATAGTAGGTTTCTGGTAACGGTAATGGAGCATGTATTAGTACAGCATGTATCTAAACCTACACTTTTTGGTGTAAACCAAAGTTCTCTGCTGGACTTGGTAATAACTCATGAGACTGAGGATATTGCCAACATAAATATTCTTCCTCCGTTAGTGAATAGCGATTACGCTGTTTTATCATTCACTTTTCCAGCTAGTGAAATGATGTACGATCACGTTAAGCCTCGCTCAAATGTATCGAGAGCTAACAAATCAGCCATTCAGGATTGTACTGCTAAGACATATTGGTTAGTAGATATTAGCTTATCAGTCGAAGCAGCATGGTATATATTTAAAGGCAAGTTTAATTCAGTCACGTCCTAGTTCATACCATACTTGCTACCACGTAGACCGAATAATCGTCCACAATGGATAAATAAAAAATATCAAGAAATTTCTTGGACGTAGGAAAAAGCACTAGAATATATTCATCTCTACTGGCTTAGGACAGTACATATCCATTTATTGGAAGATTAGGAATACTTGTAATGCTTTAATTAGTAAGACTAGACGGTCATATCAAAAACAATTGGTTATGGGTTGTAAACATATTTCTCATATATAAAGAGGCGAACTCAGAGAAAATCCGTTAATATTGGCAAGAAAAGTTGTCGAAAAAGCTGGGACTTTATTGGAATATTTCAGTAAAGTTTCTTCTATCAGTAATGTGGGACAATCATTTATTCATTGTGATTGTGACGGCTAGTTGATGAACCCTGTAGTTATTGAGAAAGATACTGTCCTAGGACTACTTCAGCATCTTAAGCTTGATAAGTCCAGTGGCCCTGATGATATTCATCACAGGATTATGAAAGCCTTATCAGATGTAATTGCTGAACCTTTAGCGTTACTGTTTGAAATGTCCCAGCGGCAGTCCAGATTGCCCGGAGGCTGTAAAGACGCGATAGTTAGTCTGGTGTATAAGGCTCGGAGTAGAGATTTAGTTAGTAACTTTTTACCCGTTACCTAAACTAGTGCAGTTGTAAAACTGGTGGAAAAAATTATTCGGATGACCCTTATAAACTATGTGGAAGGACATGATCTTTTATCCAGGGGAAAACATGGTTTTCAGAAAGGCCTATCATGTTGGACAAATCTTCTTATTGCAAGAGAAAATTGGGCTGAAGCAAAATATCGCAATATTCCTGTAGATGTGATTTTCATAGATATAAGTAAAGCCTTTGATAGGGTCTCCCATTCTGGTCTTAAGTGAAAACTAGAAAGTCTTGGAATTCGTTGTTCAGTCATAGACTTGATAAATGACTTTCTACATGACAGGAGACAAAGGGTTAAAGTAAATGGAGCCGTCTTTTCGCATGAACCTGTAGAAAGTGGAGTTCCGCGAGGCACAATCCTCGGTCCTCTTTTATTTTTACTTCATGCAAATAAATTACCAACTGTAGCTAAGTCATCCTTCCTACTCTTCGCCAATGACGTAAAGATTTGGAGACTCATAAACAGCATGTCAGATAATATAGTATTACAGGATGATCTCAACTCATTAATGGCATGGATGGGCGGTGGTTACTGGAAGTCAGTCCTAACAAGAGTGTGGCGATGCAACTAAATAACTACGATGATTCGTATTACTGCCCAAAGTAAGAAACTATAAAGATCTAGGAGTCATACTAAGCAATGATCTCAAAACAACCAGCAACCGTAAGGCCGCTGCTGCAAGAAACTATAGGGTATTATGGTCTATTCGTAAATCTTTCTAGTATTTGGATGAGGAAATGTATAGATTATTTGACCTGACTTTCGTGCCACCACATTTGGAATATGGGATTCAAGCAGCGAGTCCTTGTTTCAAATATGAGGTGGATATGCTGGAATGATTCCAAAGCCGAGGGACTAAAACGGTAAAAGGTCTATCTGGCCTACCTTATGAAGAATTATTTCCGTTATCTTACCGTAGAACACGGGGTGATCTAATATTGGCTTATCGTATCCTGGGCGATGACCTTGGTACTAATATGTCGTTTTCCACCCGTCTAGGACTGACCATTTGAGAGGACATTTGAAGAAAGTCTAAAAACTGAGCTCATATCGTCTAGGTCTGGGGCTTCGTTCCTCGCATCGAGTAGTGAATTACTGGAATTCTCTACCAGAGCATGTAATATCAGCACCTCTTGTTGATATATTCAAAACGAGACTGGATCTCCACACTGTAACAAACTGCAAGGATTAATATAAGTCAGTAGGCCTCCTATCCTTATTACTGGAGACTGAAGAGATAATACTGTGAAGGGAAATGTAAACTGTTAAAACTCATTGTTCCGTGCAGCCCTTCGTCCGTCCATAAGACTCCTCCATTTGATTTTTTAATGCTTTCGACCTACAGTTTTACTGTACCTACCTCGTAGTCTGGTTATTTCATGAACTCTTCTTTTCTAAACTAACGTTTCTCACAGATATAAAGATGTCAAGATACCCTCGGTTATACATGTTTATGTCCGTAACAACTTCATAATCTAGAAATATCAATCCATTCAAATCAGAAGTCAAAAAATGAATGGGGTTGAAGTCAAATTTTGAAGGAATCGATATGTTAAGAAGCGTTTGATAGAAGTTGGCTAGTTGTTGCGATGTATACGCAACATGGCGTGCCACATCGGGATCTGCCGAGGTACCTGACCGGGCGCCTTCAACTAGGATGTGTCTAGTAAAACCAATGAGGTCAGCACTGTTGTCGAAGACTTATGAACTATTTTTTCTGAAGTTTTTTTTATAGCTACATATACATCTTAATAAGATGGGTTTTACTGAGTTGTTTTTACTTAAGGTACCCATTTAACTTGTATTCGATTTTTACTGTCCTTACATCTATGTCAACAACGTCGCAAAGGCTAGTAAGGACATACTTCTACTTCGTTCCATCAACATCTGACCAATTTGGTCGGATAAGGATATTCAAACTACAAGTTGTGTATAACTTGCCTGGAGCTCTCCTGGGACTATTGCCGTGGCGGCAAAGAAATCCTCAAAATTAATAGCTTTGTATGTGTTCGACATTGGGTGCTGACCACATTAGTTTTAACGGACTAGCCTCGGTCATGCATCCGCACCAGATCACGGGTGAGAACGCTGTGCTCAACTTCTCCTGCGATCGTTGCCAGGTTAAATAAGTCACTTGTCAATATATTGATAAGCTATCAAATATATCTCCCAAACTCCTCACTTCTGATTTTCGATTTCACTGGGTGAGCACGATTCAATTATAGTACGTGTTGCTGATAAAGTGTTGTCAAACTACAATACCTATAGCATCTTCACCCGGATAAAGTAGGAGGGCAAGGCATCGGGTCAGCGACCCCAACCTGTAGGAAACGAACTCGCCAAAATACTCTAACCAGAAGAAAGTAATTCCATTTACAATTTGCGTACACATTTGTTGTGGTATTGATCTTAACTACAATCCTCAAAGTTGAACAGGGGATAATTTTGAAAATAACTAATGATAAGTCGAAAATGGTGAACGTGGGAAGATTCATTCGAAATTCAATTCATCGAAAGGCGTGGCCCGGGCTTGCAGGCGTGGTCACAATTATGTTACACACTTTTTATTCATATTAAACATACTGATCTATCTTCAGGATGGATGTGTTCTCCGTCGAATATCGGTTATTTTTACGATACGACGAGTCAGTGTAGACAGTGATGTGACTTCCGCGTAATATCCTGTAGATTAGGCAGTTACATCATTACAAATTTAAAATTTTGGGATTAAGTGTATTACTAGAGCAGCACTAATGATGAGGCAAACTGTAGTTCAGCGCATTAATAAGTGTAAATTCACGTGACAGCATTTAATACACTGACACATTTTTCGCTACCAGTACTCATATTACCAGTCCAGCCCTCCTAAGCTTTCTTGCTTGCCAACAGCAGAAGGCCGATTGCCTCTTGGATCAGCAACGTCCTACTCGAACAACAAAGCACACAATGGTAGCGGGAGTTAGGCTTCGAGTATCTTTTATATGCTGTGAGATTCAAATAGGAATATATATATAATCTATTAGATGAATAAACGTAGCAGTACTCATTATAAACCACAATTACTGTCAACTCATAAATTGTTTCTACTTGATCTTTTATATTCAGAAATTCGCTAAGTTTTCATCGGCATAGACTTGATTATTAGAAAGGTTTGGACCTTTCAATTAGTTGGCAGAAGCCATAAATTGCATGCCAAAAAGCGAAAAAACACGAAAATTGACATGTGACAGGAAAATGCTGTTAATGGCTGATAAATAACGACACATAAAACCCTTGACAGCATGTTATATGGGCGCGAGATTTCATGGCGTAACTTCTTGACCGTCCCCTATAGTGAAATCATTGCCCTTTTAAAACGCGCGCTAATACCAATTCCATTGAGTGATTTCTATATGTTATTTCTACTGTTTAGAAATTCGTTAAGTTTACTGATAAAAAATCAATACAGATAATCGGCTTTTTGTCCTAAATATTTATTTTGAATGTGATATTTCTGTTGTCATGACTTAATATACAGAGGAATGGCGGACGCTTTGGGCGTGACTAGTGGGTCGACAAAAGTGCCCGTTCTTTTTTATCTTTAAACAACCCTCTATAGTTTGCCAAAAAAGGCAGAAGAGCTGAAAAAATGGTTAAAGAAAAAGATGATCCAATTTTGAATGAGTTTAGTTTACGTAAAGCTAATGATATGAAGGTAGGTGTTTTCGTGTTTCATGTCAATAAGACCACCGACTTTCCGGAATGTAAAGTAGGCGGTTGGAATGAGGGTGAAATTTCGCACAGCGTGTCGTTTGGAAGGTATCTATACGTTTTAGGCGGATGATCCTTACTCATAAATGTTTTCTCTTTCCAGGAGGTATGTACTCTATTTATATTTCAACAAACATTTTCAAAGAGCTGAAGAAGATTCACTGGATGCTTTCAAAGCTTTACGAAAGGAAGGTAAAATCATTTTTTGACTTTATGATGAGCGTAACCTGGAAATATCTTCCAGAATCTGACGAAGAACTCGGTAATATTCTATTTCTGTGTTTAAAAATTAACAGAGATCCCTATTGTTCCTGATTTAAGCAGTGTTGAAGAACAGTCTGTCGCATTTCATTGTGCGGTCGCACCGAGGTACATGAATTTCCTATTAATTTCTTATATATATAACATATATGTTATCAAATATTAGTGAAAATATGGGTATTAAAAATAATTTTGGAATGTATCTTTTAGGACTAAGCTATTTCAATAGTTTAACTTGTAAAAGTTTAAACAAGTCTGCGTCAGCCTTTATTTCAACAACTGAATTACTTATTCTCATCCCTTTCCAAGTGTTTTGTTTAGATAGTTGTTTCCATACTCTTTGGTTGATCTTCAGTTGATTATAAGAAAGTTTCAGTTATCAAAGTAATCTAAAAACAGTGTTTGTTATCGATAACCGATGTAAAAAGAGTACTTCTCGTGTCAAATCGTGTTCATTTGCTTGTTGGTATATTTTGAGAAGTTCACTTTTTTAGTCATTTGTTAAACTAACGCCTTAGTGTTATGATGTGAACTGACTAAAAAGAAATTTATTGTATCGTGCTGATCCCCTCTTCCACCAAATTTTGTTTACTGTTTTTTTATATATTCAAGTTTACTTCATAAGAATACTATGTTAGATGAGCTTTTTTTGATTGTTAAACGGATAAGCCTGTTAATTCAGCTCCAAATTTGAATAAGTTTTCAGAGCAGTCGATGCCACTTGCTACTTATATAAGTTAATAAGGATGACTGCTTAATGGGAGTTACGGAAATTTTTCGTCAGTAGATTTGGTAGCAAATTTTGTGGTTGACTTAAAATAGCTATTAACAGAAGGTGGGTAGGGTAGAAATATTAACATCAATGTTGTGGGACAAGATGACGAGTGATAATTCAATATGACGTTCCAAAATAAAACACGGAAGAAAGTTGAAATCATCCTAGTTAATGTTCAGAAAAACTTGGCCATGAACTAAGTAGCAACATTTTATACTCATCATATTGTATTGAATTCTTGTGTGAATGAATCATAGATCTTATCCGATGGAAATTTGGGTTAGTCCAGCACTGCGTTCTCCAAAATGATTTCCATGATCTCTTATGCCGCCGACTAATCAGTTCATTTTATGTTAACGTATAAAGTGGATCTACGCTACCAAAAATTGTCCTAAACTACCGCGCTATCTGAAATTAAGTTTAAAAACAAAATGGCAACGCGCTGGAATAGTGTAAGATAAAAATCCAATACACTTTCGCGCCATAAGATAACCCGCTGTTTGCTAGTTATTGTAGAAAGAACGTTATATCAAACTTCCCTTGAATAAAGAATATCTCCAACAGACCTGAATTTCCCCATTATTATGAAAACTGGTTAGCTTGCTAATCAGATTTACTCGAAGAATTTTGTACAAGCGATTAGTGGGCTCATTAATTTCTTTGTCCGTACCACACAACAAAACGCCAAAAGTTTCACAACATTAGAATTATTCTGAGTATTTTTAAATGGCCCGGTAAAAGGCTTGACAAGCTTATCAGTTAAGATGACGAAAGAGTAATAAGATGAATTTAGTCTATTTTTCTTTAGCTGGCATGTAATAATACAAAATGTATTTTTTAGTCTTTAAACAATCAAGTCTAATAAAGAAACATGGCAAAAATTCTCATTAGTCCTTCATTGAATACGTTAACCAAAAATATAGCTCCTCAAAGCTTGATTACTTTTAAGGCTTCACTATACTAGAAAAGTGAAGAACTAATCAGGAAGTTGGTGGTGGGACCAAAGTGTCAACTCTTAACCGATTCAATCATAAAAACTCCCAGCATATTTACCTAGCTGGTTTTTTAGGTGCATGATTTATTATATAATCTCAGAACTAAGCCATACACTAAAATAGATTCGTGCTGGTTTTTTTGGGTTAATAGATATATGTTTATCCGTCAACGAACACGACATCCGCTCTCTTCTGACTTCTACTTAATGATTTGATAAAGTGCAGTTCAACCATTGTTTTTGGAGTTAATTTTGAATCAAATGGAATCTACTTCTTTGTTATTGTTGACTGATCGATTTATGAGTCGGCAAAACTAATAAAATTCATCGTCTCTTTGCTTCTATCATCTGTAGTGGATGTAAATTTTAGTTGGAGTAACTGAGAGAATATCTAAATTTTTGAACCTTAACCACATCGTGCGATATGTATTTAATATTACACATTCCCATTGTTTTATATGTTAAAACGTATAAGGCTAGGCTAAGCTAATATATTGAACAGAAAAGGTTATAAAATATTTAGAATCAATAATGTTGATAAACGACAAAGATCGTTGGGTCTTAAATCTTATTCTTATTCAAGTTCATCTTTATCAGTAAGGTATATCTAGTAAGTCTATAGAACACATTTACTGGTCACGTAGTGCGTTAGTTGATGAATCCAGAAATTATGGATTTATTCCAATTTTTACACCACTAGGCCCTGGCCATCAAACCATAATTACTTAAATACAGGCTTTAAAGTACTAATGTATGTACACTCAGATGGATACATGGTAACAAGTAAGGTTGTATAGCACGGTTAACTAAATAGTTTGGATTTAAACTAAGGTCTTAATTTTGTGTTTTTATTGTTGAAAGGAGTAAAAGTAGGACAAAAAACGCTTGGCGTTTCGCTTAGGTTAATGAGGTAAGTAAATGTCTGTTCAAATAGAATGAGAAGATGTAGCTTTGTTTGATATATTTACATAGATGGATTTAGACATGTAATACCTCTTATATCTGGTTAATTCATGAAAATTATTTGATCCATTTCAGTGTTTTTTTTGCTTTAGTGTGGTCATAAACAAGATTCCAGCATACAGTGAACTTAGTCAAGATCTACCCAATCATGGCACGCTTCCGTTGTTGGTAAGATAACATTTTTAGAGAGAAGATGGTGAACTTGTTTAAATAATTTTTATCATAACACATCTTTCTTTTAGGACGGTGACATTAACTTAAGGGTTTTGACGAAAAATTTGTTCTCTGAATCCGAATTGCAAGAAGTAAGAGTATATTTATTTAAACAATTTAAAAAAATCCGTTTGATTGTCGTAGATTGATGAAACATGGAGTTGGGACTTTTTGTTCTCTGAATTAAAGACATTGAAATAATACACTGATCTGATCAACATTATAAACTTATTTACATATTTCGTTTTAATAAATCTAATTGTTTTGTATCAGAGAAACAAGATATAGAAATAATATTCTCTTTACAGTGTTACTTTTGACTTTTACGTAACTATTAGCACAGGCGATACTATAAACAAAAATTGGCTAGTATTACTGGTCAATGAAGTTGTAAACTAACCAAGTGAAGCGTAATCAAAGACCTGACCTGATATTTTGGGGTTTGGTAGCCGGTCGTTATTTATGACTGGTGACCTTGGATGATGTGGTTCAATATCAATCGCAGCAACGCATGTCTATTGATTTCCTTTCTCACTTCAAAATTTGACTTTAGCGATCGTTTACGCTCACTGTTTTTTTGTTGAATCGTGCTTTTTATCCTATTTTACTGAACAATGATACTAACTTTTAGGCTTACCAGATTTTTTCTTATTAACTTCGTCTGTTTGTACCGGTATTAAACTCTACAGACTAAGTCTATACATATTTAGTCTAGATCTTATGTTGTTTATAAATGAATGACTGAAGAAGGACTTCTTTTGAGAAGCGTAAATAGCATTAATAAATTATCTATCAATGAAAGTGTTGAAGTGAAAACTGATAAAGGACAAACGTTTGTAATTTACTAACAGTAACTTGATAATAGTGGTAATATCGAATGTATTTTATCTGTTAATGAGCCAAAAAATAAACAATTATTGGCCGTAATACTATGGTTCACTAAGGACTTTCTTCTCAACCAACTTTGCTTTTATTTCTTGAATGTTTCAATCTTCTTCTTTGTAATCTAATGTTTTCCCGAATTTGTCTGAAATCTCTACCAATAGTAACTAAATCTAACAATAAAATTATCCCCAAAAATATAAAAACCATAACGAACATAATTGAGGATAATTTTGATGCAGATTCAGCTTCTTTCGGTTCAGTATAGAGTCGTCCAGTAAGACCTACAGAGACTTTATCAATTCTTGCTATGAAAAGTGGATTTTAGAAAAAAACGTTTTATTAGATTAATAGAATGGATGATTGAAATAACAGTAAATATTATTATTAGATTTTTCTTTCCAGCTAACCGTAGGAATGATTGACCTCTACAGCTTCGTCATTAAATCTCGTAATAGACTATCTATTTTCATATTTGCTTTCTACGAGCTTAAGTTAGACAGGATTATACTTGGTTATCAGATTTTAACTAAAATCTCACTTAATTTAACTGCTAAAACTGAACCACCATCCCTAAAAATCCCGGGATTTAGTTCATCAGACTCTACTGCTCTTCCTCCCTTTACATTGCTTACGACCTTCACAACCTCACTAAGAGTTGGAGGACTTTTATCAGTTCGCCATTCAGGTTGACTGGAGATATTGGGTTACTGAAGTGTGGTTGAAGGCCAGTTGAATTATTCCTTAAGGATTTTTGCCCTTCGCTTAAATCTCATGGATTGGAAGTGAGTAATAGTCCCGTCTTTTTCCGAGATAGTTTCACTAATAGCCATATTTTTAATACCCGTTTCCTCGAGAAGTTTGGACAGTTGTCTTATGTTATGTTTGACTGCTGCGTTTTCCATCTCTTCTACTGTTTTCGCTACTCACCACTGCTCATGATCATTACGTATGCTTTTTATCAGCCTACTTTTAAGCTTCCTCCGCTCCACATGGTGTTCTAAGCCAGGCGTGACAAGTCTACGAGCATCAATCAGTACCGTAGACGCCGTTAGGGTCCATTAGTTCTTCTCAACCTTTTGGTTCAAGTTAGTAGTAGATATCACTGCTGTTTCCACAACTTTTCGAATATCATGCTAAGCTACCTCAGGGTGGACATCACTTTCACTGTTGACTAACCGCTGCTCTAGTTGTTCCTGAAATACATTCTTAACTTTCTTATCATGAAGTTGAACTCTTTTTTTGTATACATCATTACTCATACACTTATTTATCTCTGTTGTTTTCCCTCATTTGCTGAACAATCAAAGAAGAGTTTTAATTGCTCTGATAGTTAGTAAGTATAAAGTACTGTAACGCAAAGGAATACTGACTGAGAAAAGAATTTCCAAACTGATGAATTGATGCTTTTCTGAGTGATACATTCTTATTACAGGTGAATATTTGAGATTGACAGGCTATTTTATCATCAGATATCCATAAAACAAATAAGGGTTAAGTCAGTGAATGGCATAAAGTCATCATCGAAAGGCCACCGAGTTTTCCTGTATATGATTAGTTTATGAAAACGTTTTATGGATAAAATAAAACGCCCAAGAGCAGCTTACTTCCCTCTGCATTTTATATGATCTTTGTTCCATAAGCAGGAAGAAAATTGTGGTTTGTTACTGATAGCTACAATTCCTTGGTATATACCTCTCAAACTAATTATCGACTGCAAGCAACGTTTTTTTGATTAGTAGTTAGTAAAATATGCTATTACTGGTAAACAGTGAATCACTCACATTTTCGTCTGCTTGAAAAAATACAACCATACTGTTAATTATTAATGTAAAAGCCTATTGGATCTACAGAGGGAAATTTTAAAAACAAAATAACCAAAAAATTGTTTGATTACCAATACAACCAGTTAGTTGTGGAGTCCACTGGCCGTAATTACCGCATGTGATATTTAATCCTGAATCTTGATAAATACTTTCATATCCATTTTTGCAAAAGTATCGAATCACTGTTCCACGTGGATATGGGACCCCACTGTGTTTCGTTAAATTCATCACGTCTATGTTACTTTTCATGACAATGAAATATGGTTCCATGTTATAATCCGGTTGTATTACGGCTTGTTCATATAAACAAGTTGCCTCTAAAATTTAAAAAATGAACATATAATTTTGGAAATCAGACTATCGAAAAAATAAATGAAGTAAAATGGGGGTTGGTTAGTCATAGAAACCAATATGATCTTCACTTTACTTCACCAGGATAATCACCATCAGGAAACTAATGGATACACATTATATACATTTACATCTTGTAAAATTATCATATGTAAGCATGTTGAACGGTTTTGAGAATTCGTGATTTAGTGAGTTCATGTAAATAAAGTTTTAACACAAATTTGATAGAAAAAAAACAAACTTCTATTTTTCAGCCGATGAGGTGAACACGTTAGCAACACAAAAGGGGAATAAATAAACCTGGACTAAAACCCATTTTATTCGCTTGTTACTATCGTAATCCATCTTTTCACGTCGCATCACTATCTCGTGAATTCAAAATTTAGGTCAAAAGACCAGTGATAGCCATTTAGGAAGCCGTCTGGTTTAGTCTAGACTCTTACAAAAGTCTTGGCAATCTGAACAAAAAGTAAATAAAATAGTTACAATTTTTAGCTAATAAACGCAAAGTAATTTTACTGTATTTTGCCTTTCTCATCTTTATGTCGAAAGCGATTTGTGCGTGTTTCTAACTTAATTTCTTTCCCTTTAGCTTCTTATCTTCTGAAAGTTTTGACTGATTTAAAATCTGCAATTGCTAAATTATTGCCTTCCGAAACTTTTATCTTGAACGCTTTGAATAATGCGTATACTTCAGAACCGTTCATAATAATTAAAAATAATACTTTCAACTGTTTCATTTAAAAAGCCCATGGGATAAGTGCTCACTCTTGTTGGTGTCTGTGTTGAGTTAACTAATACAGCTAAAACAATATTGATTGACTGAATCAATATAAATATTCGTTAATGTGCCCCTGAAGTATAATCTAGAAAGAAGTAGTAACGGAAAAGAGAAACAGCGAATTTCCAAACCTTAAAACGCTATCGAAAGGATTGAGGTACTATTCTTGGTTGTCAGTGAGAAGTCTTTAACCATAGAGTGGATAGCAGGAATGATCTATTGAAAATTATCATGGATTATAAAATATTTTTGACTAATACAACTAGTATGTTCTCGTCTACTGCTAAGTGGCATCACATCTCTGCAACTGAAATAAGCCATGTTAAAACCAGCTACAACTAGTATGGATGTGTAAATAGCTGGTGTTCGTTTTAAAGCACCTGTCCGTATTTTGCTACCGTTCGAGTATTTCCCAAATGCACTTTCCCCCTCAATAGTCAGCAAATGCATCTCTCTAAAAAGTTCAATGAGAAGAAATGTTTTTGTCTATCAATAGAGGGTACAAAGTTACAGAAATTTGATTACAAGTGTTTTCAAAACATTGCTGTAGATTTTTTAGACTATTAAAGAAGTTAGTTGGGATCCGGCTGTAGACTTCCCTTGGATCTTATGAAAAAGTCATGTTGCTTTCGGGGAGATCTTTTATAATGTTCTCATCTTTCTGGTCACATAGCTTTCTTTTGTTCATAAAATCTAGTATCATGTTACAAATGGGACACTTCTATGTTCCTCGTTGTCTCAAGCTTTTTTCGGCCCAGTGGTCTAGAGATTAAGCGTTCGTGCGCGAGACCGATAGGTCTTAAGTTCGAATCTCGCGGGGCGGAATCGTGGATGCTCTCTGTTGAGGAGTCGCACACTAGAACGAAACGGCCGCCCAGTGCTTCCAGGTTTTCCATGGTGATCTAGTTTCAAATGACTCATGAATTCAACTATGAAATTACTTAAATCTCCACAAAACCCCTTCTGATAGTTTGAAAATTGTTTAAATTTATGAAGCAGATCACATGCACGAAATTTTTAGAAAGATAACCTTCCTTGACTAATTACCAAGTTATTTAAGAACAGAAATGACAGATTAAATGTAAAATACACCAGCTACCTATTATTTTCTAGATTTCATACATCTGTCAAATTGTTTTTGTATTTAAAGTAATTTTATCCATCGAATCTTAAGTGCAATGCTAATAATTCGAAACGTTAGATTGTATGTGACTGAGGTTTCTCGTTTTTCTAATAAAATAACTTGTCATCAAGCAAAAGCGTATCAATCATTCATTCCATTTACATCCTTGAATAATCTACATGTATATTTGTTATTTGAAAAGTAATGTATTAGGTTTACTCTACATCAGACATTGACAATTAGATTTAGGAGCAGTAGTTTTCCGTGAAGTTTCTCGAAAGTAAATAAGTATAAAATGTACAAATGAGTGATTTCTCACTACTTTGACATAACATAAGAATTTACCTAA